TATATTCTGACCGTTAGGCTGCACGAGGGAGCAGGAACAGTCTGGTTTCCAAGTTCACTCGTTACAGCAGCGGTGGACACTTTCTGTCAGAGACCAGGCCGACTCGGACGCATCAAGCAAAGGGCTGGACACCAAATAACACGATTGCTGAAATCCATGAATTGATAAATTCATTCAAACATAGAATTTGTACATATATATATGTTCTAATTCATGAATAAGAATTAAACTCCACTTTCCTGTTCTGACCTGAGCGAGACAGCTGTAGCTCGTCACCTTATTTCCAACATCACTGGAACAAAGCTCAGCTCATATTTATTACTTATGAACTTATTCTGCACACACAGTGTTTATAATTAACTTAGGTGGGCTAATATATTGCTGACTGCTAAGAACATTTTATAGTTTATTATTTTTAACTATTCCACACTTTTATTTTGAAAATTCAGAAACTGTTGAGCTACAAAAAGCACTCCAGGTGTGAGCTGAAGCTCCACATTAGTCATCTTCAGCATGTTGGTGGACACACGGCGATGGGTCCAGGCCTGGCGGCTAACAGCAAAGAGGTGAGACGCTACCTGCTCTGCACTCGCGTCTGGGTCACAGACGGTTTTTGTGCTTTGACAGCATTGAGGATGTGAGTCGGTCTCACATGCCAAAGTTGAAGTGTGTCCCCCCCGGAGCAGGAAGAGCCTGTTTCATTCATCATGTTCAGTGCAGGCGCGTTAACACACTTACACACACACATGCACGAGTCGATACAGCAAATGTGGGTTTCACATCTCGAAGCTTGTGGCTGATATTAGTCGATTCAGCTGCAAACAAACACGTTTGCCTGCATTAGTCACACAAACTGTTACCTACAGCATGAACTTGCACATGTACACTGTCCCAACAAACGCTTTATTGGTGTCAACTCACAACTGCTGGTCGCTGAAACACTTTTCTTTATTATGGAGTAAAGGAGACGAGGAGGTGGACAGAACGAAATGTGACACTGCTGAGTGCAACAAGGGCTTAAAGACAAACATGGCAACCTACAGTTGGACAAAGGCAGTTTAACAAACACGTAACTACCAAAATGTTCTTATTAACATGTAACCTGCATACATGATGGAGTCAACAACATCCAGGGACGAGCCTCTTATTTCATGCACGTGTGTCTTTAATAAGTGTGAACTGTGTGGAGGCTTCATGAAGAAGAACTGCAGTCCGACCAAAGGCTGCATGGAGCTGCATGTTTCATGTTAGCTGAAGTTTGACATCTGCACAGATGTGTACCTGTTACACAGCTGGAGTACCTGCTGGAGGTAGCGCGTCCTTTAGTCCCACTAACCAATAGCACCAAGTGTGTTCTAGATCCAAATTCAAAGTTGGAATTTCCCAGTTTGATCTGGGAAATTCCCTCACTTGGATTTCCAGCTCGGAGCAGCCTGATCAGCTCCATCTATGAATGTGCTGAAGTGATGCTGTGATACTGAGCTGTACTGCTAGCAGGGCCCACCTGAAGCTAGCTCACTTGCACCCAAAGGTGTATGAAACCTGATGGGTGTGTGCCCAATGTTACAGAAACATAATCATTAATAAGGTGATGAGTGCTGGTGGTGGCTGCACAGAGAACGTGGGTGCGACGATATCTGACAGCTACAGTCAGGACGCCACGAAGACGCAGTCAGCAAACGTAGGACGATGAGGCTGTGGCTTGAGATCACCTGATGGACTCTTCCTGCACTTCCTGACTCCCATTAACATGGTTATGTGTTGAGCAGGTCCAAAACCATAATGAGGGCGATTGTTGGTTTAATTCATGCCGTTTAAATTAAACCAGTGACTGTTAGACCATGTGAGGGACACGTGAGCCGCTGTCCGAGTGCATTTTGTGTAATCTCACACAGCCATTGGCTGCTGCCAACAGTGCTGTGCACTCAGTGTACTCGCCCACTTCTAAAAGTGCTCCTGAGTATCCAGAACAACAGAAAGAGTTTCTCCTCAGTTTGAAACCAGAACCGAGTTTGTTCCGGTCACAGAGGATGAAACTTGGGCGTGGACACAGCCAGGCTGGAGACGAGGTGATCCAACGTTTCCTAGCTGTGTAAAATCTACCAAACATACTGACACCATGGCTCCGGCTCCTGCATGGGCCCTCAGATCACAGATCAACACATTTATCAGGAATCCGAGGCTATTGGTTATGGAGGCCAACAATCACAATCTTCTGCCCCTGATTTCCATCGTTTTTCGCTTGTCGTCTTCCTCTGACCGCTTCCTCGTTCTCATCCTCCTCATCCTCTTCCTGCACATCCTTTGCTCTTCCTGAGGCAGTGTGTTCACCCTCCTCTTCCTCCAGCGGCTCCAGCGGATTTATCAGTCCATACAGGAACGTGAAGAACCCGTTTAACCAATCAGAGCCGCCCTCCTCCACTTCTTCTAACCAATCCAGAACCTGGGATTCACCCTGACCATCGCCCTCACTGGACAGGCCTACGCAAATGAGGGGGGCGGGGAGGATGGGAGGAAAGTTGAGGAGCAAAACGTGGGAGTGAAGGAGAGAAAGGAAGTGGTGACAAAACTAAGAAAAAGGAGAGTGTGAAACCAAATGAAGGAAAAAGATGTGCAGGAGGAAAGAGAGGAAACAACAGGAGAAGGTCAGAGAAGTTTGCAGGTTAGACAGCAAGGGAATCAGACTTTATCAGCAAAGCCAGGCTGTCTGCACATGACTGCAGAACAACGCGTCATCTACTGGTTTAGACGTGCACTCTTTAAAGATCAGAAACTCGTGCTGCATGCTCATCATGTGCAGATAGCCCAGAGGAGGAGAGGGAGCACTGACGCTGGCTTTCTGTGGGAAAGCTTCTCTAATGAAACAGCTTCAGCTTTGGAACCAGAGTTGTCACAGTGCTGCATCTCCAACAGCAACACAATAACCTGAGACATGTCGACAACTACAGGAAGTAATGAGAGCACTGAGCAGAGGTCATGTGGAGGCAGATGGCCCAGGACCACACACGCCCCCACACATCTGTCCAAGTATGAACAAGGCCATAAAAGCTTGTTCAGGCATGAATACCACATGTTTAAAATGTGTCGGGCTGTCCTCCTCGGCTTCTAATACTGTATACATGTGTACTAATGAGAGAGCCTGCACACAGCAGGGTGAGACCTGGGAAGCCTTTACCACAATCACCCTCATTTAGGGTTAGACAGCATGTAGCCACAAACAAAGGCAACCACAGTTTCAGACACCAGTCAAGTCTTACGTGCATTTGGTGTCCTGGTGTCAGATTTCTGCTTTGGTGCAAATGAACAGATCTACTGTGGCTTTAATGTGATCCTTAGGATGAAGACCCGGGGTCAGGGTTCATGTGAAGTCCAATGATCACTGATGACTCTGAGGGGGCCGATCTGACACATGGAGGATTTATTTCCACACAGATAAAAGGGGGATAAAACATCCCCATGAAGAAGAAGGATGGTCATCGTCAAGGTTCTGGTAGTTTTAACAGCTTCAGATGAAGACAAGTGAACCTGGAGATGTTCCCTTCTTATCCGAGAGACTCGTTCAGTTCTAAAACCAACAGTGGGAGCCCCCGGTGGGTAGTGGGCGTCGTCCCTCAGCAGCTTCTCATTGACCCACCATTCGTCATGTGCCTCATCACATGAGCCAAGATGTGGAAAAAGGTTTGGTCATTACATCCAGAGGCTTTGGGCGAAACCACTGTGAGACCTCGCCCCATCCTGTCACGTGACCTGCTGAGATCACCTGACCAAGATGTGAGTGAGGGCTGAGGCTGCAGTGCAGGCGGCAGACAGTCGCTGTGATAAACCACAACCACGGTCGGTCACAGTGGACACAGATGTTCTCTTTTACTGTCAATCTGTGAACACTGGCATCCTCCAAAGAGTGACCTTTGACCTTTAGGTGCACATGTACAGCCGAGTCTCGTCATGTCGAGGTGGCTCCAGTGCATTGATGCAGCGGCTCCAGTGCATTGATGCAGCGGCTCCGTTGCATTGATGCAGCGGCTCCAGTGCATTGATGCAGCGGCTCCAGTGCATTGATGCAGCGGCTCCGTTGCATTGATGCAGTGGCTCCAGTGCATTGATGCAGCGGCTCCAGTGCATTGATGCAGCGGCTCCGTTGCATTGATGCAGCGGCTCCAGTGCATTGATGCAGTGGCTCCATTGCAGAGGTCTGCGCACTCCTTGCTGCACTTCACAGCACACACTGTGTTGCTAGCTTGTGTTTGGGATGAACCAGGTTGTGTGTGAGTGCGTGGCTGGGTCTGAAGTGCGCTGGGATGCCGTGCTTGGAGAAGACTCTCCTGATCTTCTCTGATACACCTGCTACATCAGGATTGTTTGTCCTGCTGAGGCTCCCTAGTTGGTGTCTGACCTTCTTTACTCTGCACCTGTGCTGATTGGATGAAGCCCAACTGGGATAACTACATGTTTTTTAAACTTGTGTGTTTTCTGTCCCTCCTGCCCGCAAACACACACCACTACCACGTTCTCTTACATTTTCAAAATCCAGTGAACAAATTAGAACGTGTCTCAGAATAGTGGAAATGTGGATGGTGAAGGGGGCAACAGGGGAGATGCTCTGAAACTTAAATATGGGTTATCCCAATGTAGCGACGACAGAATACATTATGATTTCCAAAAGACTGGAGCGGGCACATAAGATGAAACAGCTTAGTTGCCTTACACCGTTTTCCTGCTCCAGAGGCCAAAGCAGCACTAAGACTCATCTAGTTCGTCTGCTGACATGATGAAAGTGCTGAAATCCCAAATTCCCTTCGAATATTATGCACCAGCTGCAAAATCTGCCAAGCTGCTCAGAGACCCAACAAAGGGACTCAGATAACCCTGAAGTGTCTACAGATGACTCCTGAAACAGACACATGCTGCCTGTGTCCAGGCTGAGCACCACAAAAGCTCCTTAAAGGAACCTGTTGCGTGAGCGAATAAAGAACAGTAACGCCCTCTTAGATACCCGACGGTGACGAGCCTCCATTCAGCCTCTACAAGCTGCCTGATTGGCCGAGCAGCTACCTTTTCATGTAGAGAGCTAAGCTTTAGACTGCATTAGCCAGTGTTTGAGGCCATTCAGATGTTCATGTTGGAATAAAAGCCAAACAGGGAGCTCTGAGTTCTTGTTTCTAATGAGTGAGCCATGCAAAAGAAACCCAAACTAGCATTTTGTCTACTTCACAAACACAAAGCCATCACAGCTGGTAAGCAGATGTTGTGATGATAATATTCCTTTTGTTGTAGTTGTGACAGAGACAACAGCTGTGAATCGTAGTTTGATCAACTTGCCTAGCAGAACTTTTGCGTCCTCGACATCGAAATCTCCGTCGCCGTCTGTGTCGTACGCCACCAGTTTACCTACAGCAGCAGCAAACACAGTTAGACACACTTAGACAAATTCTCATACGTGTACATTAAACATGTGCTTACTGTAATTATTCTAACTGTATATTAGGGCTGAACGATATATCGCATTTGCGATAATATCGCGACATGATCAAGTGCAATTTTCTAACCGCAAAGGCTGCGATTATACTGCGATTATAAGGCTGTCCAAATTACTACCATATCCCAGAATTCATAGCGCGGCCCAGCCAAACTCCAGTTTCCAGCAATGGCGGCCGCTACTAAGTTTTAAAATTACTCATACTAATCTTTCTGGGTCACAAAATAAACTTTTAACATATTTTCAGGCGAGAAAGTAGTTGTGTAAACATCAAATATCTGCTCGGTTTATCAAGATATCCCATATTTGCAAAAGTGCTTCGACGTTTTCAGAGGCGTCTGCTACCCACCAGCTCGACAGCTAGCCGGGAGCTCGAGGGTTACTGATGCGGCCGAGAACGGCACAACTCCCGGCACATCATTTTCAGATCACCGCGGAGTTTCGCTGCTCGGGTTAAACGTAATATATAAGTCACTTAGACAACCTAAAAATGTTATTGTTGGGCTTTTTTCAGTGTTTTGTTTGTTCGTGAGTAAATCGGTTTGGCTGAGATTAAAGTTATTAGATTAGATAAAATAAAACTTTATTAATCCCCCGGGTGGGTTCCTCCTTGGTTTTCACACAGCTGACTAAACGTCAAACAGAAAACTTATTAAACAGAAGTATGAGACAGTCGAGAATTTACACCAGTGTCTGGTTATATTTTAGATAGCAAGAAGCAGACGGCCGAGTTTATTAAACTCCACCGAGACAGCGGTGACGCTAATCAGAACTAGACCGTCCAATTTCACGGCTTTAAATTTTAAAGGCGTGTTTGTGTGTGTGTGTGTGTGTTTATACAATTGCTATTATGTTTGCACTTTATGTGTAATGTTACTGACTGCAGAGATCAGTAAGATGTGTGTATTTTTTATTTATTAGTTTTATTTATTTAATATTATTTTTTAATTGAATGACTGTCTAGTAGTTCACAGATGTCGAAAAACTGAGTGTGGTAAAGCCACTGATTTTGTTTATGTATATTTCTGCAATCTGCACATTGTACTGACTTTCATTTTAATGTTTACACCAGGGTTCCTTGTCAGCACTTTATGCTCAGATGTTTGTAAGCTAAAAATAAACTATTGTGTATGTTCAAATATACTGTTGTGATTGAAGAAGTTAAATAAAAATGTCAGTCATCAATTCATGCATCACCTCATGTCATCATAACAGAGGTCTGTCTTCCAGGAAAGAACAGTTTAAAATTAATGTAATATAGTATTGGCCATACTATATGATGTATTGCTTGTCTTTGTTTAATAATACAGAAGACAAAGACCTTAAAAAATAATCGCATATCGCATCGCAATCGCAATATTGGGGCAAAAAATCGCAATTAGATTATTTTCCATAATCGTTCAGCCCTACTGTATATCATGATATAGAAATGACTTTAAAGGCAAATGTATTAAAGTCAAACATGGGTGTAACAATGCTTCCTTTAGAGAAAGACAGTTTACCAACCACTGCTCCTACATGATGCCTGCGTTTCTAAGATCATACATGAACACTGCAGCTGGAGACCAGTGTGACCACACCAGTCACACCAGCTGAATCACACTCAGGAACCAACGCTGCAAGGCTGTGCACTCCTCCACCGACCACAGCCAACTTGTTGCTTACATATGTGTCCTTAGTGACCAAGGGTTAGGGACGAGCCTCCAGCCTGTGTGGCAGCTTGGCTGCCTTCACTCCACCTTTCTCTACAGCTGCTGATTCCTGTGGGCTCTGAGTGCTACATGAAGCGTGTCACTGTACACAGAGGTGCCAGTTTAGGTCGACTATAAGGGCGTGTTGAACTGCATACGTAGTGTTTGTGGATGTGTGTAGCGCTGCAGATGTTCCTGCCAAACACTACACGACTCAGGGCTCTGCAAACAGTGTGTGTGACAACAGTCATTTTTGTTCACATATGCAGAATATACATTATGGGTTTTTACCTTGCAATGCTTCAGACAGGTTAATTTGTAAGCCCTTAGCCTTATCTGCATGCAAAACAAACAAATAATAAAACACACATAATGTAACAAAGACAGGGTTAAGAGATAAAACACAATCACATTTCATACACACAAGAATGGACCATTTATCATTAATGCAGGCGGCTGTGGTCAAAGACAGGCAGGCTGCAGCAGCTTCAGCCGTCCTCTACACGTGTGGCTCAGCAGGCAAAGTCTGCACCTAGCTTTAAGCTAACTTACAGAAATGCTGCTGTGTTAAATGCACCCATTACAAGCTTCATTTCATCTGACTGGCTTTAATGTGACTGGCAGGCTGTTCACCAAAGTATTTGGTTTAAAGTGTTGAGACAGCAGCAGACTGAGGCTCACTAGTAATAACTGCTGGTCTGAATTTAATGCTCCGGTAACGACAGTTAGACCGGTTCTTATTGCAGGTGGAGGTTTACTTTAGGCGTAGTCTGTGGACAGATGACAACAAAAGCCAAACTGGTTACTGCCACACCTTCCCAGGAAGTTCCTCTAGGCGTGTGTGTGTGTGTGTGTGTGTGTGTGTGGGGGGGGGGGGGGGGGGGGGGGGGGGGGGTACCCACCAAGAACTCCCTGATAGTCAACCAGGTCAAAGTAGACCACAGCTACAGACGTCCAGACGCCCAGCAGGGCCAACACGATGAACCAGGTGAAGAAGCTGCTGCCACTGGAGTCGGCCTTCTTCCCATTCTTGTTAGACGGCTGGCTTTTAGCACCATCTGGAAAGACAACACACGTGATGTCAGGTTCAGCTGTGGCCCTCACAAACTTTTCCTTTACACACTCAGAACATTGAAATAGAAGTTGAAGTACATTGACCTTAATGCTACTTTAGAGTTACAAGTGTGACTAATGATGAGAGCGACGAAACAGCAGTGAACACAGCGAGGAGCTTGAAGTCCTCCTGTGTGTTTATGAAGCCCAACTGCACGGCGTGAACACACCTGCAGGACGAAGCGTTCAAAGAAATGTTGAGGACAGTCTGAGCTTTGGACGTACATCCATAAACTGCCCTCACTTTGAAACTCTGAGCATGCTTAATCCCAGGAAACACGCCCCCACAGGATGCCCACACTGGGCGCCGCACGGCCCCCCACACTGGGCACCGCCGGGCCCCCACACTGCGGGCTGCTGTGGAGCGTGAACCAGAATGTTGCTTAAAAAAAGAAAGGGGGGGAAAAAAAGCAGATTTTAGCTCCACCCTTATTTCCAGGAGGTCACCACATAGTTCAGGTGTTTGGACACCATGCCCTTTCACCCCTCCCACCACTGTGTGTCCACTCAGAGGAAACAAACAGCAGATCTGACCCTTCAAAGAAAGCTTGTGTGAGTGGATCAGGGCCTGATTCTGCTGCTCTGCAGTAAATCGATCAGATTCAGAGTTCTTCTCTCTTCCTGAGGCTGTGAATCACTCGCACCCTCAGATTTCTGACGGTGCATTTTCCACAGCAGTCACATTTCCCTGGTGTAAATAATCTGAAATCATTTGAGGACATTACTGTGCCAGTGCCGTGTATGTGGTGCTGGGACAGTAGAGTGTAGCCAAGGATCTATTCTTGGAGTGACAAAGACACGCTCGCTGTGAGAACATGGTGGCAGAGAGAACGAACAGGTGCTAAAGTCCGCTACATGCTAGGTCAAACCTCCTTCCTCTGCACACCTGAAACATGCCAGGTCCCCAACTCATCCAACCTGTGCTGTGACATCATCTTTTCCTCTGCAGACGTTTGTGTGTTTCTGGATGAATCCATACGTGGGCATGATTGCAGCTGGGAGTGTAAATCTAACTCACAGCAGGCAGCAGCAGCAAAGGCGTGACTACGTGTTAGAAGAAGCTCTCACTCAGTCACACATCTGGATCACAGCATCGTAACACACCTGGATGTTAAACCTGGACACTGACTGAACACTCGCTCCTCCAGCAGGTATTAAATACTCGTCCACCCAGGCCATGCTGCTTGGTATTCGATAGCCTCACCTTGGTTTTCTGCAGCTAGCACTGCGGGCACTGCTGTAACACCAGGAGAGGCGGCAGACTCCAGGGTCACTGGATCACCCATCTATGGCGTATGGTGGACCAACAGGAGGTTAACCGGCCAAAAAGAAGCGTGCAGCCCAGCGACGGCGAATATCAGCTCAGCCGCTCCCTCTATGTGGCCCCGCCCTCTCTCTCTGTTTACTGGCTTTCTTTCTGTTGCTCATCCAGCGTCATCATGCGTGCCATTCTTCTCTCTGAGACGATATGGCTTCTAGAGGTCATACACAGCTATTAATAGTGCTGTTAAACCAGCTGGCCCTCGCACAGAGAGGGGAGGACATTATTTAAACGCTCCCTGCCTGATATTGTGAACTTTAAAATCCTCCATGTTTACTTTGCAGGGTGCACCTGCCGACTGCACCTTCAGTATTCTTACAGCAGCAGTAAAACAAGGTCCGGGAAGGATGTCAGAGCAGACAGCTGCAACATGTCACACACGTAACAAACACGTAACTACATGAAGAGACATTTGTGCCACTGCATGTAACTGGGAACAAACCACTTCACCAATCACGGGCTTGTTGGTTAAAATGAGATGAAACTCCAACCATCAGCATGGACTCAGATCAAACATCTCTGCCATGAACTGAGGGGGTTCCAGACGCTACAGATGAACACAGCGTGCAGCACCATCAGTCACGGTCAATCATCAGGAGGCTTGTTTTTCTCATAAACTGGTTTCAGTTGGTTTGTGCTACTGTAACATGTCCAAATAAAGCCCCACCAAATACTAACTTTGCTTTTTTATGTCTGAGAACTTAAACATTGACAAATTCAAACTATAATGGATCCAAACTTGGTGTGGCCTCCACAACAGTCCCAGTTTGCTGAGCTAGAGCCAAGGTAAAGAAACACCGTGTTGTGAGCAGCGTCTATCAGGGAGGGTTACATTTGTCAAAGGTTTCAACAATCATCAGGCTGTTGATTAAAAAGCTTCATTCACTCTCGCACTCTCTCCCATAATGCATGTTTTGACCTGTCTCCCGTACTTGTCTTGTCCTCACCCACAGCTGGTGGCAGCACATTACAGCCCCTCCCTGAGCCTGGTTCTGCCTGAGCTTTCTCCGCTGTTGTCGTTGCTTCTTACAGGGATCGCCTGATTGTTGGAGGATATCCTTACACTACGACGGCCCAGGTCCCTACCACATGGTAAATGAAGTAGATCTTATGTTTAAATGGAAGCCCCATAAAGACTCCTTTATAAACTTTAGTGCACGTTTGTTAAGTTAATGAATATTTGTCTTTAACAATGAAGTCTACCAAAATAAAAGAATGTTGGGCTTTCTGTTTGTTTTTCACCAAGCAGGCATGCTGCATTGTGTCTTTGGAAAACACAGCCCTCTTCCCAGCTGCACAGTTAAGCTACGTCAGCAATTTATCAGATCGTTTCTCCACCCGAGGCAGGAGCAACCCCACATAACTTCACCGAGTGAGCCACAGGTGCCACTCTCACAGCCAACACAGGAAAAACGAGCTTTCACAAAGGCTTTGACACAAATGAAGTCCTGCTAACGTGCTGTTACATAACCGGCCTGTTTGAAGCTTAAAGTTAGTGCATGTACCAGCAATTACACACAAAACCTTAGAAACAAGAGCTCGGCAATATACTGCACATGAAAACTGGTTCAGGGCTGAGAAACTTTAAGCAGCCTCAGCAGAATGCAAATCATGAACAAAGAAATCCAAGAAATCCAGTGATTGTTGTATTTGGCAAATGTGTTGAAAACTGTCACGACACCGTGAGGTCCTTACCCAGTGACTGCAAGCAGAACAGAACAGAACAGAATAGAATAGAATAGAATACAATAGAACAGAACAGAACAAGACAGAAAATATAAATGAAGAGAATAGAATATAACAGAACAGAACAGAAGAGAATAGAACAGAAGAGAATAGAATAGAACAGAACAGAACAGAACAAAACAGAAAAGAATATAAATGAAGAGAATAGAATATAACAGAATAGAATAGAACAGAACAAAACAGAATAGAATAGAACAGAACAGAACAAAACAGAAAAGAATATAAATGAAGAGAATAGAATATAACAGAATAGAATAGAACAGAACAAAATAGAACAGAATAGAATAGAACAGAACAAAATAGAACAGAATAGAATAGAACAGAACAAAACAAAACAAAACAGAATAGAAAAGAATATAAATGAAGAGACTAGAATATAACAGAATAGAATAGAACAGAACAAAATAGAACAGAACAGAATATAACAGAATAGAATAGAACATAACAGAATAGAATATAACAGAATAGAATAGAACAGAACAGAACAGAACAGAATAGAATATAACAGAAGAGAATAGAATATAACAGAATACAATAGAACAAAACAGAATAGAACAGAATGGAATAGAACAGGACAGAATTGAATAGAATATAACAGAATAGAATAGAACAGAATATAACAGAAAAAAAACAGAATAGAACAGGAAGGAATTGAATAGAATATAACAGAATAGAATAGAATATAACAGAATATAACAGAACAAAACAAAACAGAATAGAACAGAACAGGACAGACCAAAGTAGAACAGAACAGAATAGACTAGAATATAACAGAATAGACTAGAATATAACAGAATAGACTAGAATATAACAGAATAGAGTAGACTAGAATATAACAGAACAGAATAGAACAGAACAAAACAAAACAAAACAGAACAGAATAGAACAGAACAAAACAGAATAGAACAGAACAGAATATAACAGAATAGAGTAGACTAGAATATAACAGAACAGAATAGAACAAAACAAAACAGAATAGAACAGAATAGAACAGGACAGAACAGAACAGAATGAACAGAACAGGACAGAACAAAGCAGAATAGAATAGAATAGAATATAACAGAATAGAGTAGACTAGAATATAACAGAACAGAATAGAACAGAACAGGACAGAACAAAACAGAATAGAACAGAACAGAATAGAACAAAACAAAACAGAATAGAACAGAATGAACAGAATAGAACAGGACAGAACAAAGCAGAATAGAATAGAACAGGACAGAACAAAACAGAATAGAACAGAACAGGACAGAACAAAGCAGAATGAACAGAACAGAATAGAACAAAACAAAACAGAACAGAACAGAATATAACAGAATATAACAGAATAGACTAGAATAGAACAGAATAAAGTAGACTAGAATATAACAGAACAAAACAAAACAGAATAGAACAGAACAGGACAGAACAAAGCAGAATGAACAGAACAGAATAGAACAAAACAAAACAGAATAGAACAGAATGAACAGAATAGAATAGGACAGAACAAAGCAGAATAGAATAGAACAGGACAGAACAAAACAGAATAGAACAGGACAGAACAAAGCAGAACAGAACAGAATAGAACAGAACAGCCGTTTATTGTCACTGTGTTTTGTTTTCTGTAAGAAGCAGGTTCTAATGCTATATTCTGTACTGGTACAATTGCACAATAGCATTGCTACAAGCAGCTATGTGGCAACATTGTGAACACAGCGAGTATTTCCGGTTTCCACAGGCATGTTCTCCTCGTTGGAATTATTAAGACTTCCAACAGATGAAGGGAATGAGGGCTGACGACCATCCTTAGTCTTACTGACCCAACTGACACTGGATATGCAAACAGTGTGACAGAGACACACCTCTGTTTGCTCACTTGTGATGTTACTCTGTGATGCTGCCAAAACATGTTCAGTCCATTATGCCCACAAGACGGCAAATGAATAATATGAGACAAAACAATTACATAACTACATGTTACAAAATTAACATTAGAACATGTAAATAAACAAAGAACTGGCACTGGACGACCTCTGCAGAGCAGTTATTATCTGATCCTCAACATCAAACATTCATATGCACGTACCACCAGTCTGAGTCCACAGGCCCAGCCTTTGGAGCTACAGCAGCTTCAGTTTCTCTGAAAAGGCTTGAAGTGTGTTTATGGAGCTCTTAGCCACTCTAACAGAAGCACATCTGTCAGGTCAGATACCAAGTACACTAAGAACCAGCTCCCACAGTGTCTGGACCTTGGAATGGTCTCTATAAGCTGAAGCATTGAGAGGTCCTTCACTGGAACCAAGTATGAACTCCCAATCCCAGACTCAATGTGTTCTCAATCCAGAGAACAGCGTCCACTGATCTAGAACCCAGAGGACCTGTGCTGGCTGATATACGGCTTGGATGCAGGTGCTTGGCCCACTCTGTGTTCAGTGCTCTGGTAGACCTTGGGCCCTGTGGTGACCACTGGGCCCTCAGCATAGGGCTCTGTGACGTGGCCTACTGCTTTGTGGCTGAGCTGCCGCCGTCCCCAACCGCTTCCACTTTGTTGTGATAACACCAACAGTTGACTCTGGAATTTCATGAGTGGACTTGTTAGTGTCCTATCACAGCACCACGCTGGGATTCACTGAGAGCGACTCATTACAAATGCAGCCTGCCTGGTTTTATACACCTGTGGCCATGGAAGTGATTGAAACACCTGAATTCAGTGAGATGGATGGTGACTAGAATAATTTGGGCATCTTTACAAATAACAGCAGCTGAATGATCCAGAGAGCCCGCTTTCAAAATCTGATTATATGACCACACTTAGAATATTCATGAGCAGCCCGCTGCTACACGTGTTACAGAGGATGAGGTATACACTGATAGATACGCTGAAGCGGTTCTCCTCGTGCCCTCATGCTGTGACAGAAAACAAAGCACAAACTGGACAATCTCAGAGGATTACTTGTTGCTTTTAAGTATCCAGTAACACAATTTTACCCCAAAAAGGACTAACAGGAAATCTGAGGCATATCCATTTGCTGGGATGCATCCAACAGCTCCACATGAAAAGAAAACGTCTGAAAGCATGCAGTAACACACCACTTTGTTGTTGTGTAAACTCCATGTTCATATGAGCACGGCACAAACACGCACATGCACAGTGCTGTCCTCCAGAGCTCTGCAGAGTCTCTGTCACATTCTGAACACACTGTTCAGCCCGAGCAGCTCCTCTTATATAAGGGCTGCTGTGCACGCCTTCAAACTTACCTCCATTCCCTCAAGCTTTTAGAGTGTGTCCAAGCTCATGCACGTCCACATGTGCACAGCTTTGTGTACTACAGAGGACACTGGAGCTCTGCACGGTCTCTGCAGAGCTCTGATCTTCAGCCAGCTTTTACAGGAACACTTTTTCCTCATTGGGGCACC